TCAAAATGCCAAGAGTGTTAGCAGGCCTGTGGGATTCATGATAAGACCTTAGAAAGGCTACTTTTTGGGCTTGCAACTCCCAAAATCTGCCAGCCAGTATTGCTAGTGGCCATGATGAGATTTGCAATAAAAAAGAAAGTAATGTTTCCAAGTTCTACTTGTGTTGGAAAGTGCTGGAAAAGTCATGCCCATCCACCATCCTCCCCGTTAAAAGTACTCTTCTAAAGCCTACTAAACAGTCTTGTAGAGGGTGGTGAGTGATGGCTTTGACCATGCTCACTCACCATCAGCTCAACTCTGCCCAGTTCTGTCACACATCTGTATATTGTCCTTGGGGGCAACCTTCCCTGTTTTCAGTTGTGCTGTGTGTCACTTAATCTCAAGCTTACTTTCAATTACTTTGGAACTATTGTATTCCCTGATTATTTCCATGGCTGGTATAGTAAAATCAATCAAGCTATCTCACGTATTATAACCTCCCTGAAGAGCAAAGCATTCTGTTACTTTTAGTAGCTTACTCTGACAGTGTCGTTGAGAATTTATTCCTGTAAGATATTGTCCAGCCCTGAAACTGAACTTTCCTGAGCTTTTCTAATGCAACAAACTTGGATGTTCTGAAAAATCAGGCTCTATTATCATTACATCAATTCGCAGGCTCTTGCTCTTCATTCTAGTTTTTATGTGGCACAGCACAATGTGGAACTGGAATATTATTTGGATTTCTGATCTCCGTCCAAATACTCATGTTTTTAAACAGTGTAAGAGTTATGCTGGATCAGAACAAAAGTTTCTCTTTTCAATAGTGATGAACCAATAAGGATAACCATAGGAAACCTATATGCAGGACATTGAGGCATTAGCTTTCTCTGCCCCTGTTGCCCCCCAACAACTAGTACTGTGAGTCACATCATTTCAAGTCTGGAGGTAGTATACAGTCGGTTATCATCATTAGTATCTAGTTAACTAAGGCATATCTAAAGTTCTAATTAGATAGTCAAAAGAGAGTAAAAATAACCTCCATGATAACTTCCATGAACATCTTAACTAAGGTAACATATTCAAATCATATCACTTCAGCCATTTTCCTCTATGTAACATAATTTAAATATTTGCCTTGAGTATAAATGGCATCTGAGGAGAAAGATTAGCAGTCTATCTTGCAATTGGATATTGATGTTATTGCTCTGCTTGTGTTTGGTAATCTTGACAAAAATACTTACATTAAGTAATGATCCATTCCTCCTACCAGGTCTCTGTGCTATCTGTGGGGTGTCTGTTTTTGCTAACATGCTTGTCACCAATTTCTGGATGTCAACAGCTGGCATGTATCAACAAGGAATGATGCAGACACTCACAACAAGGTAATTCTGGGTAATGATATTATGTTCAAATGCTTTCATCCTGCCTTGAAACATGACATATGTAGGTGAGAGTGGTACACTCATTTAATAGTCACTGATCTCTTCTCAGTGATCTCTGAGACTTGGCATTCTGTGAGAAAGGCTAAAGATTGTTAAGACTGTTTTCAGCACTTTCACCAAAACTAGATTTCCCAGGATTCTTTCATGACAATTAATTAGGATAAAACTCTTAAACTTTGTATTGTAGATGAGTCTACATTAGTTTCCGTACATGACAACTCAAATGTATAAAAAGGTGACATGTGTCACATATTAGTGTTGGTTATTGACCCAGTCCCAGGATTAGAAGAGAAAAAAATAGTTTAGTGGTAGACTACCTGTTTTTGGATGCAAAAGGTCCTACATTCAGTCATAGTTGTCCAAACTGAAAAAGTATCTTGCTACAAAAGACAGGCTCACTTTGTCTACATACCTAAATTATATCCTTAGCCTTACACTGGGTCTTTAGAATTTCTCATTGTTAATAATAAGATTCTTGTTTCAGTTAGGAGATGTATGACTGAATGCAAGATCTTCTGATAAATAAAATAGGTAGTCTACCCCTTGTTTGTTTGTATGTTTGTTTATTTATTTAACTTCTAAATTGCCCAGTTTACTCTGGCTGGAATACAACTTAAAACAATAAGAACATATAACATATATCTGTATGACAACAAACATAATAAAAGTAAGTAAATTTATTGGTCCTCTTCTAATCCTGGGACTGGGCCTATACGTTACTAGTAGAGGTAGTGCAAGGTGATGCATAAGAGAAGATGCGCAAGAAGGTAACATATTTGTTGTGTCAATTAGTGTAAGAGGCTCAGTGTGTCGATGGAGGATAAGACCTGACAGGTTGTGGTTCTTACGTATTCCTGCCACTCTTTTTGAATGGCTCTACCAACCCCATGAAAACTCCTTGTGTTAATTTAAAAAAAATCAATAAGAAAGGCTTCTAAAATAATTGAAGTAGATCCATTATGCTACCCACATTCCACTCCTATCATTCATAGTGGTTGGCTAGAGGCTGCAGCTTGCTAGACTACAAGACTGTGATGTTATAATTTTCATTTCACCCAAGGTGAAAGCAGAATTAATTCTTACCAAAATATTTAAGATTAACCAGATTAACACTATCCAGATTAAAATAATGAAGAACCTGAGGTCCAAAAAAAGGGAATCCACATATCATTGAACCCAGAATAGTTGAAGGTACGCAGATTCTGAGGTAATAGTGTTGCTTAAATGAAACATTCCAGGTTAGACCCAGATTAAGTTAGCTGGGCACTATTGTTTTTGGAATAAATGGGATAATTTAACCTGGATCCAACTCATAGACTGGAGTAAAAGTAAATGCCATGTTGTTCTTTTTGTTTTGCAGATATACCTTTGGTGCTGCTCTATTTGTGGGATGGGTTGCTGGAGGCCTGGCCTTGGTTGGAGGCATTATGTTGTGCATTGCTTGCAGAGGACTTGTGCCAGAAGAAACCCAGTGAGTCTCTCTGTACTTCTGCAGTTACTGTATTGGGGGGGGGGAATAATAATGATTCTCTGTCAAGGATTTCCCTAATTAACCTTAAATAACTGCTATTTTTCAGTCAAAGGTTCAGTCAACTGGTTCCATTGTTGACCTTGTTACCAACATGTTGCTGACTGTAACTGTAGCTTCAACATCTTAACTTTACATGCGAAGTTGTTGTCTCTAGAGAGGAATTCAGATTACCTGCAAACCAAGGACTTTTCTACAAAAGCATGTCTACATTCCCTAACAGTTTCTAAATGATTTCCTTAAAATCATAACTGAAAGCCAGCTTTTGACTGATAATACTTTACTTTCTTCCCACTGTTGTCACACTGAAGCTGGGTTTTTCCTTTACAATTTCTGCCATGCTACAAACATTTGGTGGCTCAATAGTATCTGAAAAAGCGGTGTTTTATTTTAGGAATAAATTTCACAGGGAGTTATTGGTAACACATTTCTTTAAGAGTACAATTGTGCCTCCAGGTGCACAAACCTCTTTTAAAATAAGGCACACATTCCTCGTTAAACAAGGGGGAGAAAACCTTTTTTTTTTTCATCTGTTTCCATGCCACCAATTTTCACTGATGCAGTGGTAGTTTAGATGGTGCTAGGGTATCCTTGGCAAGCTCAAAGAGAGAAGGTTCTGTATGCTTCAGGGGCCATAGATTGTCCACCTTTACTTGATTGAGTCAATCGCAGCTATGCTTACCAGGAGTTTATACCCGGGGACTCAGTGGGTTTTTACTCATGCATTGGCTTTATCTGCAAGAAACCTATCAACAAATACTGGTACCTTAGACATTCTTGATTGTAGATCAGAAGGGGAGATGGGCAAAGTAACCCATCACTCACTCACTCACCCATCTTCCTGCTGCATTGCTCACAGGCTCAGCCAGCAACAACAGCTAAACCTGGAATGCCAGTTGTCATTTTATTCTTCTGTAATGGTCTATTTATTTATTTATTTATTTAAGGCTCAGCCAGCAACAACAGCTAAACCTGGAATGCCAGTTGTCATTTTTATTCTTCTGTAATGGTCTACAGTAATGCTATATTAGTCATCCTAGGGCAGTGTAGGAATATTAATGGCATGGATTGCTTAATTGCCACTACTGTTGTTTCTGCAAGTCTGTGGTGAAGGGATGGGGCCAAGTCAAATTACAATGCTCTTGGGCCTTGCAAAAGTGCTTCGGCTTTGGGTTGATATCTGAGGATGTTTAATGCTACCACAAGCCGTATTCCACATGTGTGTGCTTGCACATTGAGTAGGGACACCACAAAGCTGACCAAAAATAATACTTTCATTATGGTTGAGATAGCCTTTAACATTATTCAAGTGAAACAGAAAAAATATATTTATGGAGCATAGCTAATTGCATTATACTCGGCACATATAGCATGAAACAGCACAGCTACCCACAAGTAGCAAGATACCTGAGCTGCATTTCCATTGATTCACACCCTGTTTTATTTCTGTTTCAGTTACAAGGCAGTATCCTACAAGTCTGCTGGATATAGGTCTGGAACTGCATATGAACCCAAGAAGACAGCCATAATTGATACTAATACTGTCAAAAGTGATGAAGGACGGCGCTCAAAATATGACTATGTATAGAAATATAGCTTTCAGGGTGTAGTCCTATACTCACTGTTTGACACATCTAGTTTGTAGTCCAAAGTAACAACAACATACAACCAGAGGCCTTTCCCACTGTTATTCTCTTTGGTTTGTTCTGGAGATGCTGGAGGTTTCTGAGTTGGGAAAGAAGGCATTGAACGTTAAATCATTAGTCCCAATTTGTTAAACAATCATATCAGTTGACAAATGCCAAAAATATAATTTTTAAGTGCCACTTGATGTTTCATGTTATTTCAATTTCTTACATTTTTTAATTGGAGGAGGGAGTCTGGCATTTTTGGTCATTTTAAATCTAAGTACTGACTTAACAATTGGAGATTTATAATTTGACCAGCTGGCTTAAATCCTGCTGCCTAGTTACACTAGCATAACTTTAAAAAGCTTACATTTTGGAATGAAATTGCCTTAAGTTAAAAAATCTCCATAGACATTATCTGTTGTATACAGAGTTGCACAACTCAGCATGTGACAGAAAATGTCTACAGAAATTTCTTGAGGCAATTTGTCTCCAAAAGGTGTACTAGTTGCATAGTCATGCAAGAGGATTTTGGCCATTGATTCCTAACTCCTATTGGATGCTTTAATGTGAATGAAACAAATTTTCTCTCTCAACTGTGTGTAAATTTTTTTAATATTACTGTGAGTGTGGGTAGATCCTGACATCTTAATGAGCTCCAAAAGAACTGGAACCTGTGTTTGAACTGAAATATATAGGACTGCATTAGGAGATGCCAAATCCAATGTTTTCAACCAATGTTTTCAACTTAACTTCCCACGTAAGGTTCATGTGGGAAGGATTTCTGGACTAGCCTTTGCTTATGGAATGAATTTCAGAGGGAATAAAAGTTGCACAGTTTGCTTTCTTCCCATTTCCCCTGAATTTGGCTTCTTAAAAACAATAAAAAATCTGTATGAACTTTTATGGAAAATGTTCATACATAATAGACAGATACCAAAAAGTCTAATATTTTCTGAAAGCACGACTGAAGAATGTAGAGTCCTTCAGCTTTCACTGGGTCACCATAACTGCCATCATCCTGAAATGACATAGCCATTGCTGAGGGATAATGAGAGTTATAATCCAGCAATATCTGGAAAACTGCAAGCATTACAACACTGAGTTAAAATACAGACTCCTTTCACTTCTGAATACTCTTTGTGTCACTTAAAGTCAGTGATACCACTTAACATTCTCTCATCGGAACAGAGTTTGTTGGCACTCTTAATATTGCACTGCAGAATGCTTTCTTACTGGCAAAATAGCCTTAGAACAGCAGCATTGTATTATACTTTCCCAGCACCACACCAAAGCAGCCTTGCGTTTAGCTCTTCTGAATCCTTTCTTTTCTTGTATAGAGGTCTTACATTAAGGACCAGCCATGGGAAGATCCTGAGCCACGCCTTCAATCTTCTGATAAATTTTAGTTGGCCTACAATTGCCAAACTACTTTTTACCCCCATTTTCTGCTAAAGTGGGAGTCCCTTTTCATATGAGGTGAAAGGTTTTTCAGGACAGAGAGCCTTTGTTTTGGCTCAGCACAATATAATGCACTGTTGGCATTCTATACTTATTCTCAGTAGAATCAGCATGGTGAAAGGAGTAAATCAGTAGTTAAACTTTGAGAAACACTGGAGCTCTAATTGTTGCATAACTTTACTTTTATAAACTAACTCTTGCTTTTGTGGTCATTGAACAAGAAAATTAAAAGCTTTGTTGTACTGGGAGCAGTTTGTTTTCTTAAAAAACTAACGCTAGAAACAGACATTAGGTATAGCCTATGATGAGAAGAGGAAAACCCTTATTTAATGAAAGCATTTAAATATTCCAACAAGAACTGGGGATAGATCTTCAGGATGTTAAGTCTGATGTCTGATTTCACCAAGCCCAAAGACTGCCCTGATCACTTCTCTACAATATTAATGTGGTTTCAACTCTAATTACAGGCCGTCTTTAATGACTGTTTCTGGCTTGAGTCTTACCTGTTTTTTAGCAGACAAGTTCGGGTCTAGCCTCTTAGGTGAAGCGAAGTGGTTGCTTTGATGGTGGGTGCTGGAGGATGAGAAGCAATGGTGAGGCATGGGGAAAACAGGCTTGTATTCCACACTACCTGCCTTGGCCCTGCTCCAGGGTTCTAGTCTGCTGTCCTCCAGTGTGGTAGAAATGCAGTGTTGAGTTTAGATTTGGTGGGCACTCCAATCAGATTTCTTACACAGGATGTCCTTTGTCACAAACAGTAAAATGCCTAGAGAAGGAAACACAAATCCCCACAGTCAGATATGAAGTATGGTCAGATGCATATTATTATCTTCTACTGCAGCATGATATTGAATGATTGGCATCTGAGGCTTAAAATATTTCCAGCAAGACCAATGGAGTAGGCCTAGCAAGGTTCACATAGCTGTAGGTTATCTGATATCTACCAGCAACAACAAAATCATCCCTCTGAACTTACTGGTCAGCAGCTCTAGAAAGCATTTTGGGGCTTATGCTGCATGTTTTTGAGTCTGTGCACTGCTACTGTTCATCTAGATCAGTGGTCCCCAACCTTGGGCCTCCAGATGTTCTTGGACTACAGCTCCCAGAAACCTTCCCCACCACCTCTGCTGGCCAAGATTTCTGGGAGTTGAAGTCCAAGAACATCTGGAGGCCCAAGGTTGGGGACCACTGATCTAAATGTCATCCTTAATGATACCACAGAATATTCTAATTAACATTCAATTAGAAGCTAATATATTCCAGGCTAGAGTTTCAAGCCACAGGAGATGTGAAACAGCTTTAATCAACACCGAAGGATCCTTATGGCCTTTTCTTCCAAACAGATCTGAACATGTAGAAGAGGAAAGTGTGTTCCAGTTACCATTAGAGATGGGCACAAACTGAACCATGAATTGGAAAGAAAGAAAAACGCAACCTGGGTTGGTTCATGGTTTGGCTTGTGGATCCCATTTTGCTGAAATGAAACAAAGCACTGATTTACCCCCCTGAAGCAAAATGGGATGCCCACCCCTCTCCCTGCTCCTGCTGCCTCCCTACCTTGGCTTGAAGCCACCACCACTATTCTAAGAGGCAGCAGGCCAGGCTCCTTGCATGGAAGCTGGTCTTGGTGTCTGCGCACATGCGCTACCTGTCAACTGAGCGGTGAATGCATGCCCATAGGCAGCAGGCCTGGCTTCCATGCAAAGAGCCAGCTTGCTACCTGTGTACATGCATCCACTGCTCAGTTGACAGGTGGGCACCTGTGCAGAAGCAGGAGGCCCGGTGGGCATATGTCCATAGGCAGCAGGCATGGCATCAAAGCACAGCGGTGGCAGCATGGCAGGAGTAGATAGCCCCCTGCCCACTGGGTATGAGTCAAAAACAAAACCATGAACCATTTTGGTTTTCCAGTTGGTTCATGGCTAACCATGAACCAAGAACTATCAGGAACCACAATGATTCAGGTTTGTACCTATCTTTAGTTACCGTTTTTGTTTTCAGATGAAAATATGTGGCTGGCAACACTTTTAATCTGACAGCAAAAGTCCTGCCCTAGCCTATTTGCTGTAGCTTGGAAAAAATTCTTTTTTGGATTACAAATTCAACATTCCCTCTCTGGGATTTAACCATGGTGTATGGATGTTTCTGGGAACTTTAGGATGAAAAGATCCACTGTTAATTAATTCTTCTCTCCTTTCCCTCGTCAGTCTTGGCTATTGATATGGAGAATTCTATCAGAATGAACTATGTAGGTATAGGCAGCTCATGACCATAGGGGGGAGGGCAGCCCCTTGATATTTTCAGGTAGGATTTCCCCACCTGGTTCACAAGCCACCTCCTAACTTCAAGGACTGAGCAGCACAAACTACAGCTACACTAAGTGAGGGATTCTGTGTTAAAGTAAAAGTCTGCTAATATCCTGCTATCATTCATTAATGCCTGAGTTGGAGACATGTTTTCTTGATAAACCTTTGTATTTGTATTCTACATAAGTAATAAATATTTTTAAAAGGAACAGTTCTTATTTGGTGGGTTTTTTCTGGGGCAATCATTCAACTACAAAATGGATTTTATTTTTTCTGGGATAACTATCTCACTAAGAGGTATACTGAGAGAAGGGTGTGTTTTGGCAGCATCAGCACAAGAAGTGTTGCTGCATGAAGAAAAAAACCAAAATAAGCTGGTATTCCTCCTATTTCACATCCTATTTAGAGGCCACTGCATTTTCAAGAACTGGTACGAAGTCCTTTTGCAGATGTATGTGTGTGCATATGTGTGTACAGATTCTGATGCCTTCAAGGCTTATGAATTGTCCCATGTAGTTTATTCAATTCTTTAAAAAAAACCTTTGGGTTATGAATGTGGGATGTATCCACAATTCAAAACACCAGGAAATGGCCTGATCTGCTGCACAATATCATGTCTGCATTGTCAGCAAGAAAAGGGATACTAAACTTTACATAGCAAAGGACAGCCGTTGATGATATCAGTGTGAGCATCAAAATAGTCTGCAGGATAACTACTTGTGCTCACTCCAATTCAAAAAGAGAAATCTAACAAGGGAAAATCTCAAATCCTGACTCCTTTTTTCATCAGTTAATCACTTCTCACCCAAATGCAAAACAAATGTTTGGACTGCCCCCATTTTTAGAACTTTGTAAAATGTTATTGTGCTCTGCTGCACAAGATCATTGTTGCACTCTCCTGCAGCAATAATTTAGAAGATAATTATGATGGTGACAGAGGGCCTGATGAAACCTTTAGAGGCCATAAGCACACAAAAGATCATGATGCCCGTTATGAATATAATACACAGCAGATCTCATGATTTAAAAAAACCATAGAATGCAAATATTATACGCATGAAAATACAGCGGTGCCCCCCATAGCAACGATAATCCATTCTGGAAAAATCGTCACTATCCAGATTCATCGCTATGCGAAAAGAAAAAGCCCATAGGAATGCATTAAACCCCATTTAATGCATTCCTATGGGCTT